TAAAATAAACTGCTATGGCTTATATTATCGCTTTACTGGTGCAAATCATTTTGTTTAAACTAGAAAACCTTCTTAATGTGGTTCTACCTTATTGAGAACATAGAAAGTGTGTAATTGATTTTTACAGAGTTTGAATGCTAATTGCTAAACTTGGTTGCACATGGGCTACAGGACAACCAAAGAGGCATCTATTAACTACTGGTTGGAGTGTATTTGTCAGCACAAAAAGACTGCTTGCAGGAGATTCTGTTCTTTTTATCAGGTTAAGTATATATTTTGTTTTGCACAGAAATTTCTGGAATATTTTTGACCCTTGTCGCTGAGGAAATTGTTTTGGGTTATTTTTAGAGATGAAAAGAAGCATCTTCTTTTAGGTATAAGGCGTGCTAACAGACAGCAACCAGCACTCTCTTCATCAGTAATATCCAGTGACAGCATGCATATTGGCATCCTTGCTGCTGCTGCTCATGCTGCTGCAAACAACAGCCCTTTTACTATATTTTACAATCCAAGGTACTATTTGGCATGTGTGTTGTCATGTCATAACATGGCATGGAATGCATCCATTGAATAATGGTCCTCTGAATTTGACAGGGCTAGCCCCTCTGAATTTGTTGTTCCACTGGCCAAGTACAACAAAGCCATGTACACTCAAGTTTCTCTTGGAATGAGATTTAGAATGATGTTTGAAACTGAGGAATCTGGAGTACGCAGATATATGGGGACAATAACTGGGATCAGCGACTTGGATCCTGTACGATGGAAGAACTCACAATGGCGAAACATTCAGGTATTGTTAAAATGTTTGTATAACATTGTTATTTATTTTGTGGAATTGGTTAAGTGCCTTATAACATCCATTATGCAAACCTCTTCATTGGCTTAATGAGATAGTGATGCTTTGAATTATTTATAGGTTGGATGGGATGAATCAACAGCTGGTGAGCGCCCCAGTAGAGTTTCAATTTGGGAAATTGAACCAGTAGTTACTCCTTTCTATATTTGTCCACCTCCATTTTTTAGGCCCAAGTTCCCCAGGCAACCAGGAATGCCAGGTAGCAACTAGTTTCAGCTTTCCTATAAAGAATTCCTTCCTTGTTTGTTTCTCTGGTTCATTCATTACATTCAGAGAAACTTTCCTTAATTTAATTATTTTCATCTTCACATTAACAGAAGTATCATTTTAGCAGTAATTTTCTGTAAAAAAAGCTGGCAATGACTGTGTTAATGAATTGTTGCTTGGTATCTTGGTAGTCTACTGTTCATAGAGTCAGGCTTATTTCTGTTCTGAATGTACAGTCTCGTTTGTAATATCCTTTTTCAATAGTATCACTCATAAAACCTGCATTTTGTTCTTATTCCCATCTTTGCAATTGATTTTACAGATGAAGAATCGGATATGGAAAATGCTTTCAAGAGAGGTATGCCCTGGCTTGGAGAGGAGTTTGGCATGAAGGATGCCTCTAGTTCAATCTTTCCTGGTTTTAGTTTAGTTCAGTGGATGAGCATGCAACCGAATAATCAGCTCTCAGCGGCTCAATCAGGATGTTTCCCATCCATGCTTCCATCTAATACTCTTCAGGGTAACCTTGGCACCGAAGACCCATCCAAGTTATTGAGCTTTCAACCTCCTGTTCTCTCTTCCCCAACTCTTCAATTAAACAAAACCAATCTGCCAAATCAAATCAACCAGTTGCAACAGTCCCCAGTGTCATGGCCTCAGCAGCAACAGTTGCAGCAGCAACAGCAGCAGCTACAGCAACAACAACAGCTGCAGCAGCAGCAACTACAGTCATTGTTGCAAATACCAATGAACCATCTCCAGCAACAGAGGCAACAGCAGCTGCCTGAGCCACAAAACCTGCCATTGCTGCAGCAAATGCCTCAACAGCTAGGACAGCAGCCCCAGAAACCGCAACAGCCAAGTCAGCATGCTACTCTTACGAATAATGGGGTAGTTTCTTCTAACCAGATTACAGGTCAGTTTGTACAACCACCAATGGCATATGGTCAGCTTCAGCAGCAACAATTACTCTCAGGAGGTATCCAAACCCAGCAAGGTATCCAATCAGCTAGTAAGAATACGTTCCCATTGACATCCTTACCACATGACTCGCAATTTCAGCAACAGTTAGACCAGCAAGCTAACCTACTGAGGCAACAACAGCAACAACAACAACAGACACAATTGCAACAATCTCCACTGCAGTTGTTGCAACAAAACCTGCCACAGATTGCATCACAACAACAACCGCCTGCTACTCAAATGTTACAGCAAAATCCCTCAGAGCAACAACTCCACCTACAGTTGCTACAGAAATTGCAGCACCAACAACAGCAACTTCTTTCTACGTCCACCCCACTATTGCAGTCTCAGCTTCTACCGCAACAAAATCCTCACCAACAAAACCAGCAATTACCACTGCCCCCACCACCTATATCACATCATCAGCCTCAACAGCTTGCCAATAATGTATGTTCAACAGAGAAGCTTCTCAACAGCAACAACTTCTCTTCTTCATCTCTTATGCAATCACAACAGAATCCTATGAGCCAATCCCAGAATACACAGAAATCACTTACCACCACCAGAGCTCCCTCTACACTAACAGATGGAGATGCCCCATCATGCTCAACTTCTCCATCTACTAATAACTGCCAGGTGTCTCCTCCAAACCTCCTGAAAAGAAATCAGCAACTACCGGCCCCATTAGGGGGGAGTTTGATGGTTGAGCCCACTAGTAATCTGTTACAGGATCTTCACAGTAAGCCTGACATGCAGAACAAACATGAGTTGCTCAATCTAAAAGGATCTGACCAGTTGAAGTATAAAGGGGCAATCACCGATCAGCTGGAAGCTTCTTCTTCTGGAACATCTTACTGCCTTGATCCTGGAAATGTCCAACAGAACTTGCCACTTTCGAACTTCTGCATGGAAGGGGATGCCCAATCACACCCAAGAAACAGTTTACCATTTGACACTAATCTGGATGATCTAACCCCTGATACCATGCTTTTAAGGGGATATGACTCTTCAAAAGATCTTCAAAATTTGTTGTCTAACTATGGTGGTGCTCCTAGAGACATTGAAACTGAGCTGTCAACTGCTGACATCAGCTCACAGTCGTTTGGACTGCCAAACATGCCTTTCAAGCCCGGTTGCTCAAGTGATGTTGTCATCAACGAAACTGGTGTTCTGAATAATAGTGGCTTGCGGGGCAACCAACCTCCACGAATGCGAACATATACTAAGGTCTGTCGTTTTGTAACAATAGCAATTTCGTATATCTATAGCTTGAATTGTGGGTGTGTGTGCCTTCGTTAAAATTTTTATTAAATTAGATGATGAATTGATATTCAGATGATGTGCAAATTTTGCAGGTTCAAAAGCGTGGCTCTGTTGGAAGATGCATTGATGTTACCCGTTACAGGGGATATGATGAACTTCGGCATGATTTGGCTAAAATGTTTGGGATTGAAGGGCAGCTAGATCCTCAAAGGACTGACTGGAAATTAGTATATGTGGATCATGAAAATGACATCCTTCTTGTTGGTGATGACCCTTGGGAGTAAGTAGCTAACTCCTTAATGATTTGTAAGCCTACTTACTACAATTCTGGTTTATTTTTCTTGACCACCAACCTGTAATTCCTTGCAGTGAATTCGTAAGCTGTGTGCAGAGCATAAAGATATTGTCTCATTCAGAAGTGCAGCAAATGAGCTTGGATGGGGATTTAGGTGGTAATGTTCCAATCCCTAATCAAGCTTGCAGTGGGACAGACAGTGGCAATGCATGGAGGGGACAATATGAAGATAACTCAGCTGCCTCTTTTAATAGGTAAGGATTGGTGGAGAACCAATAAAACATGAAACTTTGGTTGGTTTGGTGCTTTCTCAAATGGAAACTAGACATTCATTACAAGTTCAGATCCTTAAAGGGAGCACCACCACATTCCCTTACTATTGGAGTCGGCTTTTCTTGCGGATGTTGGATTAGAATTTTTTTTTTTCTTTTCGATTTTTGCCAGGTACAGCAGAATAGCCAGCTAGTTTATAATTAGTGTAAACATTAGTTTTTACTTATCTCTTGTAAATCTTGTTATGGTTAAAGTTTTATACGGAAGTTTGATGTCTAAGTGATGGCTCAGAATTGTGAATGCGTGCCAATTCTAGCTCTTGTGCTGGCTGATTCCACGGTGGCCATTATGGATGAAGAAAATTCAGTCTCATTTTTAACTATTCAAGAGTGTAATTTATTGTTAGTGATAACTACTTTACACTCTTGAGGCTACGGAGGAATGCATTTACAGGAAATATCCCCTAAAATATGTGCTGTCTTTGTTCATCCGTGTTCTTGATTTTTCCTGTCTTCTGTTCATTTAAACCTTTTAAAAATATTTTCTTTAATTTTTTTCTTAAATATTACGTATAGATTTCTATAGAATAACAATGAAATTTCGTTTTAGGATATGGGGTATAATGCTGCATCTACTTTAGCTTAATCTTCTATGTCTGCTTGGTCTACCATCACCATCTTAGTATATCTGAGTTCTTTCCCTGCCTCACTCCATTTATATCAATTGCCTCTTGGCTTTTTTTTTCCCTAAGGGTGTTTTCATTCTAAAAGATTGATTTGAGAAAGAGTTAGTGGATGTATTTGAAAAAATTTAAAAATGAATTGATTGATGTTTTTTTTTTATTATTATTATTATTAAAGATTTATAATTTTATTTCTCATTCCTCAAATTCTTTCATACGAGGAAAATTTGTTTTTAATTCTCATCCTTGAAATCATCACTCACAAATCCACACAAATAAGTTGAAATGAACATCCTGAATCTTTCTTTTCCTTCTCCTCACAAAGTGAATTCTCCACACTGAACACAACATTAGTATGTGGGTCATGGAAGTGCAGAATATGAAAATCCGTTGAAAATAAATAAACTGAACACAACATTAGTATGTGGGTCATGGAAGTGCAGAATATGAAAATCCGTTGAAAATAAATAACATATCAAGCCTTGCAATTTTAATTCAAATAGTCTAAAGGAACTGGGTTGCAACCACCTACATTTCATGTAGTCATGGCACAAATATCCATTTCCTTCAACATTAAGACAAATTTGTGGTTGCAAAATTTGTTACTATGACAAGATAGCCATGACTTCTGAAGCCCTCAAAGCAATGTAGTTAGAATCATCTTTGCCCTTGAAGTCATTCCCCGCATATTTGGAGTACAGAACAGTATTCCCAGGTATGATGGACAATGGTTTTCTGTTACCTTCCTCGTCCAGAGGTCCCGGACCAACTGCTATCACCTGTTGTAACATCAAAGACAGAGTACAAAAATAAAAAGAGTAAATATATACTGACAAAATAAGATTTGTTTTGTATTGTCGCCATATATGGAAAATTTGTTGAATTTCATAAGAACTCATACTAAAAACTACCCTGGCAGAGTATAGACTGACTCCATACCAGAGGCAACTATTTAGGACAAGGAAATACAACACTGGCAAGAATCAATTAAATTGTTCTCAACGTATTCATCTGACAACAACATTTTTTTCAAAATTAATATTTTCTGTAACTATACAAACTTTTCAACGCGAGGTCAAGAACAACATGAAAGCTCACCGTTCCAATAGATGGTTTATCCTTGGTTGCCTCCGTAAGCAACAAACCTCCAGCAGTTTTTTCCTCAGCATCAGCAACCTGCAGTATATATTTACACAAATCAGCACAGATAACTTCATTAATTAATTTTTAAAGGCACGAAAAATAAGCAGAAATCATATTTGCAGTCTTAAAGCAAAATATTGCACAAATAAGTTACTAAATGGGTAGAACAATACACCTAGAGTGTTAAAAGTTAAAAACATATAGTACATATTAGTTTAGGGAACTTATTTGAGCTTATGATTCTCTTAAGCCTTTTTAGCTTATTTCCCAAAAACTATTTAATGTAACTCATCAAAATAAAAATCTTTGTAAATTATTCAAACAATCTTTATGGTATAAATCCTAACGTCATAAAGACTTATTGAATAAATACTTCATCAATTTGTTTAGTGAAAACGCACCATAAATATGTGATTGACAAATCATCCGATGCCATTCTGGGCCTAACATCCAATATCAGAATAAACAAAAACTAAAAAGGGTAACACACCTTTATCAAGACTCTATCATTCAAGGGTTTAAGATCCTTGACCTCGTCAGTTTCAAGGATACCAATGATGTCATCGTCCTTCAGTATAAGATGCTTAGAACCATTGAACTCCACCTCAGTCCCTGCATACTTTGAATACATAACTTGTGCACCAGTCTGTATAAAGGAAATGAATCACATAAGTTCAAATTTCAAAATTAAGAAGAAAACACTCCTTTCTTCCAATCTCCTGCAGTAAAATTTAGAAGTGCAAAAATTAAATGTCAATGATTTCCTAACATAGAAAGTAAACATCACCTTTACACTAATATCCACTTTGTTCTTCCCAACCGACTTTCCTTCTCCAACAGCAACCACTTCACCCCCTTGAGGTTTGCTTTGAGCAGTTGCTGGCAGTAAAATCCCACCTGCAGTCTTCTCCTCAGCATCCTTAATTTTTACCAGTACTCTGTCACCCAGAGGGCTAACAGTGGTGTGCTGAATCGTGAAATAAAATCAGAAACACGTGGCATTGATCAGAAAAACCCAATGCAAAAACCGAAACACTGAAAACAATCCGAGGATCGGGCACAAAACTTATATCTATGTCAACAATCAATAACATGGCAACGAGAATAAAGACCTTGGGGGCGACAACGGTGGCAGCTTTGACAACGAGAGAGGGAAACGAGTTTTGCCTGAGAGTGCCAATTCTCACGTGCCCGACAGAAGGAAATCGAAGCGTTGAGGGTTGAATCCTTTCAAATGTAGACAAATTCCTCAATGATGCAGTGACTTGTGAGGTTGCCATCGGAGCTGCTCAGAAAATGAAACTCAAATTAAACTAAGGAACCTTCGACAAACATGTACCTCAAACAATGCTGTTAGAATCGTGCATTGCATTTTTGTGTTAGGATTTTCGTTCAGATCTTCCAATTCAGTTTTTTAAATCTTATACAGACACGGTAGTTTTCTAGAAAGAAGATTAAATAGGAGATTAGCGAGTGTACCTTATCAAAACTATGCCACGCAGCTTGGAGGTAAGAGAACAGTGAAAAGAAAGATAAATATAAACCCTAAGCAAATACTATTTTTTTTTTTTGGATAATAATAGAAAGTTATCAGAAGTTTCTGGAATTCTATGGTGCAGTGCACGGTGCACCTCTCCACAATTTTTTACTATTTTCTCAACATTTTACAAAAGGAAATTACATAAAAAGTATTTTATATTTTCAAATGTTAATATTTATGATAAGTAATGTCATTAAACTAATTACCAACTTATAAGTAAGTCTTATTAATATAAAATTTGGTAAATTATTTTAGAATTTTTTTGATTTATAAGTTAAAAGGATTTATAGATCATTTTTTCTACGCCTATTTCATTTCATATATGCACCAGTTGAAGACAAAACTGGGTGATTTAGCTATTGCAAATCAGCGTTGCACTCCAAATTGTAGAATTAAGATGTTGAATCATGTGGTTTTATATGTACAGAGAATATAAATTAAGTGGATCAAAATAAATATGTTTATAAGTAAAAATGATGGAGAAATTATATTAACTTTAAGTTTTGGTTTGACTAACTTGATTTCTTGAGTTATTATTTTGGTGTATTTCTTATTATCACTTATGAGTGATATTTAGTAGTGGTGAAATCATTTGTTTGTTTTCGTTTTGAAGTGCCATGAAAAAAGTTGGAGAAATTAGACAAATATCAAAACTAGTAATTACAAATTTAATACCGTTATGATGCAAAATGATAGAAGTTACTTAACGAAATTAACTATTAATTTTTTTGATTAACTTAGACATCAAATCCATATTACCTCAATGTAACTTACTTTAAGAGCTTTTACTTTATAAATCATCTTTTAAAATAATTGTATTAATTATAACCCACTTACTTTAAAATTTCATATAAATATTTATTTTAAAAAACTGTAATTAGAATTAGATATTGTTATATATGTATACATTTGTGTCTTGATAAAATTTGGTTCCTACATTTTTATATATTAAACATCTATCATCTACAATACATAATAAAATACTGATTAAATTAAAGTTGGTGACTTATTCACTTGAAATGGGTTGTGATTTGTCTGTTTAATATATTGGAGTGATCCTTAAAAGTTAATAAAATAATAAGGTAGGATCATATAAAAGAAAGGGATGTATATGTAAGTATGTCACTATTGTTATGGATCTGATTAGATTTGTTTTGGTTTTAAAAATCAGCATTTGCGCATACTTTAATGCCAAAAAGAAAAGCAAATGATAAATTATAATGTCAATGCTATGAATAAATGAAGCACTTGGTTCAAAAAGCCCATGAACTCAAAATGTTATTGCATATAATCTTATAAAAGCAAATATAGTTCCTATCAAGTTGGATTCCCAGATAATTTATTTTGCTGTCATACCCATTGCTGTGATTCCAAGATAATTATGTTAAATGAATGAAATCTAAAATAGATACAAAAGCTACTATGAGAAAATGTTATATTATATTAAATTCAACTATTAATATTCAGTAACTGTTTCAAAAATAAACTATCGTGTTTGGTATGCGGACGTATGTTTATTTTCTTTTTATGATAACAAAACTAATAAAAGTATTATTATTATTATAATTATAAATATTTATCAGTCAAAACGTTATGTAGACTGTGCACTTATTAGACAATATAATCACCAAACAAGCTATCATTCACTTAACGAAAACGAAAAATTTAAATTCCACAAAAAAATTGTTGGACAAGTCATAACTCACTAAGCTACCTAGTAAATTAATTCTAAAATTAATTATTCAATAAATAATAACTCACGCCTACCATCAAAATATAAATCCTTATAATATATTTTTTCATAGCAATAATATTTGTGTACAACATATAACTTGCTTCTGCATAAAAAGATATAGCTGCTACATAAACAATTTTTATTTTTGGTGAATAGCATAATAACTTATTTCATGAAATGAAAAAGGAATGGAATAAAGGGCTTACGAGAAAGTGATTTGACTTTAATATCATTGAACGCCTTCCGACTATTTCTTCATCATAATTATTCGTAACATTTAAACACCGTGTTTTTTGAGTTATGTTTATTATTATATTAAATATTTAAAGGAAATTTTAATAGTTTATTAATGTGGTATCTGCAATAAAAAAAGAGATCTGATTTGTGATTATCTTATAAACAATGGTCAGTGGTTTATTTACTCTACGTTGGGAAGTTAAGATATTTAATACCTCATGTCACAGAATAACGTGTAAATGTTTGTTAAAGAATCTTTGTCTATATATATATAGTTATATATTATATTATTTTCATGATTATATATATAATTTAAATAATAAAAAAAGATAAAATTTATACATATAAAAATATTTTTAATGATAAAATTTACTTGTTAAAATAATTACACACATAAATTATTTAGTATTATTATTAAGATTTAGAGAATATATTTAATATTATGTAAAGCATCCAGTAGAAGAAGCACGCGCATCTAGTGACACGTGTCGAGGGGCCCAGCTATTATTAGTTTTGTAATGTTTGTGACAAAATTGTTTCCTTTCTTTTGTTTGTTTTGTGAAGAAAAGGTCCTTTATTCATCTGCCTCTCTGTATGTGGGTCACCCTCTTTATTGCTTCCACCTCATTCATATTCCATAACACTTCAATTACCAAACTACCCTTTTCAGTAATTTTTATTTTCTATTTTCATCAAAGCTTTAGTTGCATGTCCTTTACAATTTATACTCATTCTTCATCCATATGTTTTAACCAATTTAGTAAATTTCATATAATTAGCTCACACTAATGGCAAACTAAAAAAACCTTCTTGTAAATTCTTTTTACGGTTACAAATAACGATACCAATCATTTCTAAAACATGTGTTGTAAAATGGCTATCATCTCTCACTGCATTATATAGACAATAAAAAAATATAATAAATAATTAAAAGCATGAAATTTTTTATTTGGTACTTAAAAATATAATTTAGTTTATTTAATTTATTTTGTTTATCCTTAAGAATAATGATGATAACATTATGAAAGTACATTCTAGGATTGTAAAAGTAAACTTTTTCTTACTTTTGTATACTTTAAGTAATGCACTTTCCTATTGTGTCTAAGCATAAAAGACATAAATTAGGTGAGATATGATCATTCATACCATTCAATTAACTACCACTCACTATTCTTTTACCATTTTTGCAGCTACCCATTAAATACTAAGGTTGCATATTATTAAATTATACTAAAAAAAAAAGACTCTTCTGTGTAATTTGACTAACTACTATAGCCATTTCTTTCAGACACGTTGTTTCTAATCACACAAAGTATAAGAAATAATTTATAAAAGATTGGTCACATTATCATTATTAAGGAATAAGTATATCTATATTTGTATTTGTATCTATATTTTTATTGTTAAAAATTTTAATTAAATATTATATCATTTAATATTAAACATCAAAGATATGCCTTTTTTTTATTAAATATCAGATCGCACAAAGATTAAATAATTAAAAAAATAAAAATATCACATGTATATCTTTCAAAAATATGTTATAAAACTAAAAACAATAGAAAAGTTTATATAAACTTTTTAATTGTATAATAAATTAAAAATGTTTTAATAATTTAATATAGGACAAGTATGGTAACATGCAGGATATTGAAATAGATATAAGTGTGTACATTACCTATAAACATTGGGATGGATTCTAAAATTTATTTGTCCTGTTTTTTACGAAGAGATGTCTTTTAAATATTTGTTATAAATTATTTTTTTTGAATAATATTTAATTACAAGTAATTATTGTATTTAAATTGAATAAATATTTAATTCATCAGGAAGTCATTTTATAATTTAATAGAAAAAAAAGAAGATAAAATTGATTAGGAACAAAAATATTACACCAGAATGAAACAATAACAATTTAAAGAAAAAAAAAACAATGACAGGAATGATTTTTATGGGGTTAAATGAATACTTCTTCAAATTTATAAGTTCCTTCTTCTCATGTCTAATATGTAGGTTTATATTACAATTTCCATTCAAGATTATGCACATGAATAATTAAGTCGCATAAAGAAGTATAACGAGAAAATAATATGGTGTTAAAATCACTCTTCATATTAAAAGATAACAAAGCACAAATTCATTAAAATTAAGAAAAGATACACCTAATTAAAAATAGGAATATCCAAATATGTCAAAATCCTAAATAAGAAAAAACATTATAAGATGACAAAATTAAAAAACTAAAGATAAATAAATATAATTCACTTATGTTAAATTATTTTGATATCTCAATCTATATTTCAAACTGAAGTTTGAGTTGTTTACGTTGACACATTTCAAATTCAAGATTAACTTAAAACGTCATTTTTGACAAATAATTTCTTTTAATATAATTAAGTTAATAAAATTATATTAATTCACTTTTAAAACATCAAAATATATCAAACGAATTTAAATTTCAAGTATAAATTAAGAATTATGAACACGTTTAATCGTTATCTAAAATCTATTATAATAAAATTTATTATTTATTAAATATATTATATTATTTTCTATTATACTATTCATTAATATATACACCATTCATTAATATTTAAAATTAACTAGTTTCAACATTATAATTTATAAAAAATATAAATTTTATCTTAATAAATTAATCTTATACTATAATTAGATTCAAAATTAACTCCATATAATATTTCTCCAATCCTCTTAGTCAAAATACTAATTTCAATTGTAGTTTCTTTCCAAAATAGTCCACAGTTTGTTTAAGTTTTTCTAAAACAAACCATTCCTTTAGTGAGAACATCAGAGTCAAAGTTATTATTGTTCCAATGCTTCTTCCTGTGCATTTCACAAGCGATATTTTATAATATAATACAATGAAACCTTTAACACGTGATGAAACGAGGAAATATAAAATTATATCACCATCTCATTATTTCTTTATCTTTTTATTAGTCAATAAATTGCTTAATATGTAGAAATTTCTAGAAAAAAAAATCATCCAAATTTTTATTAAAGTGCTTTTATTTGGAACTTTTTTTTGTTGAGTTCTTTTTTTTTTTTACTTCGGTTTAATATTTTAGTATTTATGTCATTAAACGGACCAGTATCATTTAATTTACTTGTAAGTAATGTTTGTGCAAAAAAATGGTAAACGATGCCTAAAAATTGAAAATAAAAATCATGAAAAGTAGGTTACTTGTGGGTCCATTATGTGTATGCTTCCAAAGTTAATTTTTATCCACCATAGCTGTTCTATGTAGTATTTATCTCATGCAAAATCTTACTAATAGTGATTAAAAGTTAAAAAAATAAAAAAAAATATCTAATTGAATAATTGCGATCTAATAATACATGGAAGATATGAGCTACACTATTCTTTCAATGATCTAAGCTTAATGATAGAAGATTTTTGGCATGTTTGTTTTAGTGTAGCGTGTGGTAATACAATTAATATTGATCGATTTTGTTTTCTATTATTCATTCTTAGTTATAAAAACATGATTTAATTAACATGTAGACACGCAATTTTCTATAGATAAATGTAACCATTACAATTCGCAATTAATGGAAAATGGCACATGTTAGAACATGAGTAAATATAGTAATAAATATAAATAAATAAATAAATATGAGTAAAACAAAATAAATGTAATAACATTAAAAATTGTATCCACCCATAAAAAATATTTATCCATAAAAAATATGAAAGAAAAATTATTTGTTTATGATATATTATCTTTTAAAATAAAATATTTTACTTTAACATAAAGAATCAAATTTAAATTTTATATAAAGAACCGAGATTGAATTTTATACTTAGTGTTTAAACTTTTAGGTTTAAAACTAATCTATATAAACTTTCGTTTAGAAAGATGTAAAGTTACATTTCTTTAATTGAATTTTATTAAATAATAGATACAATATTAATATTGATTTCATGTTCTAATAAATGTTTATACGTTATACTTTTACGTATGTATTTTATTTTATTGATATCACTTATCGACTCACAAATGTTCAAGAATGATGGTCTTATCATTACACTCATTAGTTAAATTTTCAAATAATTTATATGTGACTCACATCTTTACAATTATTGAATTTATTATGTATTTTAAGAAATAAACATAACTTTGCAATACCTTTAATTCTATTATATTTGCATGTGTATCTCAGGGTAAGAATGAAACATAACATTTATTTAAATTAATTGATATACTTTAATTAATAACAATTTTATTTTACTTTTGTTACTCAATGAATTTCATTCCATAATATCACTATGTTTTTTCGTGAAGACAATACTTTTATTACAACTAATTTATGAAATTTAACATATTCATAATATCTTTTTACCAATATAATCAAAAGAAATAATATCACAATTAATTAGTTTTTTAAAAAATTTGCATCTAACTGTTAAATATTTTTTAATTAAATTTTTTGTTAAAAATTTTAGATATAACAACTTTACTATCAACAATGAAATATAAAATACAAGATATAAACTAATTTAATAATGATAAAACATATGATCAATGACAACTAAGATCTTTTATGCTTTGTTCACATGTGAGGATTTGTAGGAGATGATTTGGGAGAGAGTGTTTCAATGAATTTGAGGATAAATTTTTTGTTGTTTGTTTGAGTGGACTTTGAGGTAATTGAGAGTGGATTTGAAGGTAAAGTTTATGAGAATTAGTGTAGAATTTGACCGATGACAAATAAAAAAAATGATTTAATTGATAGAAATTGAAGATTATTAAAATATCCTTAGTAATAAAAATATTATATAAAATAATAATAATAATGATAATAATAATAATAACATTATTATTATTATTACTAGAAATAGAAGAAAAATACAAAAATTATAAACTAAAACAAGGATAAATATAAAAATTGGCTTAAATCCTTACAAATCCTTTATTCTTACGAAGATTAAAAATCAGATACATTCCGCAATCTTCTATTTTTTCATCCGTACTAATTCTTGAAAACAAACATAAGAACTTCTTATTTTTCATGTGCGCGAATTGACGTAAACAAGATTTTATTTTTAAACGAACATGCTGTTAATGTTAAAAGTACTATTGTTTTAAAAATAATATAAAAGAAAAGACAAAAACATTTTTATATAAATTTTATATGTAAATAAGTTGTATTTATATATAAAAGAGAAAATAAATAATATTAATCATTGTGGAAAATGAAATAGTTAGTATGAGAACTTTTCTTTTCACTTGTAGAAAATAACATCCACTAGAAACAAAAGCAGTTGGATTCATATTAGCAATAAGTGCTTTTTTTTTTTCTATTTGGGAACAGTGAGGGTCTATTTAAAAGGAGAGTGAGTATGTCTCATTTTTGGGCTTGAATTGTTTTGTACAGTGTCTTGGTGACGGTAATATTGATAAGAAAACGACATATTATTTTTGGGATATAAATGTAATTTGACTGCAATAAGTACACTTGTGATGAAGTGGGTCCACCTGGTCACTTTCACACGTCAAATCAGTGGGCCCGTTGATGTTGTTGCAGTGATAGCTGTCCCAAAACATCTTGCATATCGCTTCAATCCAACGGTCAAAATATCATCAAATCCTTTTCAACCAGAGAGGTAACGACACTCAAACTTTTCTTTGGTCGGAGCAAACTCTCGTACGAAATATTAATGAAAAGAATAATGTCAAATTTCATTACATAGGTAGAGTGAAGATAAAAATATAATTAAAATAATATGTTTTTGCTTTATTTATACTTTTATATTTTTGTAAGAAAGATTTAGTTTTCATTATTAAAAAGATCATGAATTGATATTTACTTATATAACTTTTCATATTTTTTTATATTTTTATTGTTTAGTTTTTAGGAGTAAAATAAAAAAAATTATATTAACGTTAATTAAATAAGATATTATATGAAATCATTTTTAAAAATATATATTGAATAAAAAATATTAATCATTGAGGAAAATAGAAAACCAAAAAATGTTAGTAAACCTAAAGATTATTTAATTCTATTATATATATTTTTTATTAAAACAAAATAATTATTTTTATTACATAAATAATGAAAACTTTCTTAATTGAGAAGGAATTGTTCTGGTATAGTTTTGAGCAATTTGTTTTTTAGTCTTACTTTAATAATATAAACATGACAGCAATTTTTTTTGTATTATTTATGTAGGAAGTCATTTTATTTTATTTATAGCAAAATAACTACATCTTCCCATTCTCTCTGTGCATATGATTCCATTCATTATATATATAATAAATTGTGTGAAATATTTTGTTTCTTCATTATTTTTGCCAACTGAATATGTGTATGAGAAGAATTATAATATTGAGATGAAAGCATTCACGTGATTATTGAATTAAGTAGTGTATTACGAGGAGTGGTTACTGATATAGGGAACCTAACATCACAGAGGGTGTTAAACAAATGTATATATTCCCTGTAGTGTATCTGAATAATTGAACATGACAAAATTTTCAGAGAGTGGGACCCACAGAGAAGTGAATAGAGACATTATTAAGGTTAAACAATAGATTATTGAATAAAATAATAGAGCATGAAATATAAAAAATGAATTGTTGGGTATTTCTCTAGCAACGATGAGAGGCATAATTCCAAAGAAAAGCAGGGGCTTAGGCCCAACCACTCCATGAATTAAAAATCATAACTTTCTCTACCTCCTCTTATAAACACACCAACCCCTCATACTTTCTCTCTATTCCAACCCTCCCACTTTCCCAGCCAAATTCTCATCATGTTGGGGAAGAGGCCCCGACCCATGATCGGAAAGTTGTCGGAGTTGTTGGTCTCAAGGGGTCGTGCGGTCACGCTTCCGGACGCCGCCACCACCACCGCCGGAAGTCCAAGAACTCCATCAGGCACCGTGATGCAGTCTCCAAGAGGCTTCAAGAACTACCACCTCGGTGGCGTTGGTCTTGGAATTGTGGTGGCTCTTGATAAACAATCCAACGAGGTTTTGCCCAAACACGCAGTTTGCACCTCCAATTTGAAAATCCAAGAGGAGTTTGATGTGGAGGAATACACCTATGTCACACGCCATGTACCTAACGAAACATTCACCAAGGTATACTACGATGGGGGTCAAGGCGAAATTCAGAGACATGACTATTCTAACAACAACAACAACATCAATAAGAACAACCTCGGTGTGTTCAGAAGAGCCGCACCACAACCTTTATTTGAGTCTGAATCATCATATCCCACATCGAATTTTCTCAGTTCGTGCAACCTGTGCGGAAAGAAACTCCACGGCAAGGACATATACATGTACAGGTATATATATATATTTATATATGAGAGCTTCATCCCGACAAAACTTTGATTAATCAAAGGTTGGTGTTTTAGGTTATGATAATAATTGGGTGTGGTTTTGTGATGCAGAGGAGAGAAAGCGTTTTGTAGTCCAGAGTGTCGTTCGAGTCAAATAATGATGGATGAACGCAAAGAGAGGTGTGGATCGGAAGCATCGAGGTCTGTTGAGATGTCAAGTTCGCCTTATACCAGGGAACAGATATTTTCAACTGGGATTCTTGCACTTTAAGGTTTGGTGGTGACAAACAAGAAATCGATGATGCTACCACTCTACGATGACTCTATGAATAAGCAATACTACGTACATAAAAATAATATATATACGAGTATACTGTTATTGACCATGATCTGGAATTAATAAATATGATTACGAGAGTTAACCAAGACAGCTTGATCTGAAACAAAAACAAAAGTTTTGATCGGCTAAAGGGTAAAGGGTAGATAGAAACTGTGATGTATTTTTGTCCTATCAAGAACAAGGCAAGAGTTATGGAATTTTCAGATCTCAGTTCCTCATATTAAGTTTCTTTCTGTTTCTGAGTTCTGCCTCTAAGATGAAATAACTCATCCTGTTTCTGAGATTTCCTTCTTCTTCTTTTTCCTGTTGAAACATCGAATAAAGCTTCAATTTTGTAACATCGTAGAAGTATGTGGGTATTGTATCAGACCATCCAGAATTTGGACCACAAGCTTAGAAATTTTAATTCATAGTTCTTCTTTCCTATGAACTCAGTCTCCTATAATTTAGCATTTTTTTATTGTGAGATCATATTCTCCTAAAATAAATTTGATGATAATTTCTTTTAAGGATTATTCTGAATACCATATAAAATACAGTTTTGGTCTCTCATCTTTAATTCAACCTGTGAATATATATATATATATATATATATATATATATATATATACACACATATACAGAGAGAGCGAGAGAAAATAAGGATTTGTATCTTTATAATCAGACTGCCTGTCTTAATATTTTATTTAAAAATCACGTTTGTTGAACTTTTTAAACCGAAAAAATCAGAATCTGAAAAAGAAAACAAGACTGAGATTTTAAATAATTTAAAATTAATTATTTACATAAGGTTAAAACTAAAATAAAATTTAAAAAATTGGAAAGAAAGGAAACACGTGTTTTTAAAGTTTAAACCATTATTGCAATAGAAAAGAAGAAGAGTTGAATAAGAAGACGTATATGAAGCAAATTCAAAGCGTGACACGTATAGAATAACTTTTTCGATGTGGGATGAGATGAGTATGAGAAGGAATCCACTAAGAAAATAATGAAAAGGAAAAAAAGAAAATAATGAAAAAAGTTAGGATCTTTTGAGGGAATCAAATAATGGTTCCCAGCTACTTTTTTTATGCCTTCGAATCCCTTTTATTATTCCTCACCATATGCCCCATTTTCTCTATTTCTCCTCGGAAACTTATTTAATCTTATAAATTTTAATCAAATTAAAACCTTCTCATCAACCTACTTTTTTAAATATTTCTTAAACATTTGAAAATGCTCAAGGCTGTCTTCAAACAGACTCCATCACCGCCAATTTACATACTCAGTCATTCTCACTGTTACTATGAAAAATAATATATAATTTAGTATAATTATAATCAAATCTTCAAAAATATTTTCGGGTGTTAAAATATTTGAGAGATAAAATATAATAAAATTAAAAAAAAAACTTATTTTTATATTAACTTTTATGCATGTAAAAATTACTCGGAAGGAGCCAAAGTCCTCTTCAAGGAGAATTAAATTCTGACACATATTATAACTAAACAAAAAAGTATTTTTATTTTTTCGAGTAGAATTGAAATTTGTTTATATTTAAAAGAATCATTCTCCCTACATCTCATTGTCTTGGTCCTGCACCTCTAATTTTATTTTTTTACTCTTTATTTAATAAAAAGTTATTTTCCTAACCGCACTTCGAATTGCGGAAAGTAATGGCCGCACTTCGAAGTGCGTTTTGTATTTTGTAGTCGCACTTTGAAGTGCGTTTATTATATGTTTCGGTGTAAATGTCTTTCGGTGTGTCTTTGTTGCTTCTGAATGTCTGGAGCGCTCTCTTCTCCTCCATTGTTGTCGTTCGCGCTCCTTCAGCTCGTATCGCTCGTCTACTTTCGCCAACAGAGGGGGAGGTACCTGCGAAGATACTCCGACGCTCAAGTCAGATGTGAGTTATGGAGCCTCAGCTCTCAAGAAAGTGATTATATTATCACTGTAGAATATTATCAACGTACCTAAACTTTTTCCATGTCATTGTATTTATAAGCCAAATAAAAATAACCTTACCTAAAAATATGGTTAGTTACTCATAAATATCTTAACCGCCTAAAATACCTAAGATATTTTATCTAATAAATATCTTACTACATAACATTATATATGTGCATCTTTTTCTTTTTTCATGCGTTTGCTGTCATATTTTTTTTCTTTTTTCATGCTTTTTTTCTTTCATGTTTTTTTCTTTCATGTTATTATTTAATTCAATAAACAATTTAATAATTATTTCAATTTCATAAAAAATTAAAAAACTTAAATAAAATTAAATACATAATAAATAATATATTACGAAAATAATAATATGTTTAAAAATAACAAATTCAACAAAATTTAACAAACAAATAAAATAATTCAAAATATATTAAAAGAAAAAAATTTTATTTAACAAATAACATAAAAAATTAAATTTATTATACTAACCTAATAAAAATAAAACCTAATAAAATAAATATATACTAACCTAATAAAAAAATAAAAAAACTAAACCCTAAAAATCTAACGCACTTCGAAGTGCGGTTTGTCTCAGCCGCAGATCGAAATGCGGTGAGATCTCCGTGCTTTACGCATTTCGAACTGCGGTGCGTGGGTTTGTGCTTTCCGCAGATCGCACTGCGGTTTGTTTTTGCCTTCGAAATGCGGTTTCTCTGTGCACCTTTCCGCACTTCCAACTCCGGACGTCTCTGACCGCAACTCCAACGGCGTTTAAGCTCTCCGACGAACGAACGAACCGAACCGGCGCACGAAGCGAACACCCAGGCACACAGGCACATGCATATGACAGCAAACAAAACAAAGTAGATGTAATGGTACTAACCTGGACGCCAGAGATCTGTGAGGCCACGACAGGACGAACGCAAAGCGTGGCAAGGACGAACGCAAAAGGGACGAACGCAGAGTCTTGGCACGAAGGACGAACGCTTGCACAAGAGGGAGGGCGGAGACAAAATACAGTGGTGGTAGAGGATACGGGGGAGAGAAGAATGGCGGAGGAAGACAGAGAGAAAATACGGAGGGGTGATTTGGAAAGGGGTGTAGGATTTGAGTTTGAAATGCGGCAGGGAAGAGTTAAAGTTTTAGTCAAACTTTTTAAAAATCAATTTTGACTGTGCAAAGGCTATATTTGGAATTAAATTATATTTTAGAGATGCAGGACGAAGTGCGTGAGGTGCAGGGAGAATCACTCTATTTAAAACTACAATGTATTTTGACAATTTTTGATTGAAGTAAAAGTCATAACACATTTTAAAACATTAATATAATTGGATTATAGAAACTATTTTTATTGAAAGTTAGGATTAAAAGAACTATTTCCACTTATTTTTTAAGTTTGAGAATTAAATGTATTAAGATTTTAGACACGAACAAATTTCAATTTTATATCTAAGTTTAAAGACTAAAAATATATTTAATTCTAAAAAAATTACACATGTCTAAATGATTGTTTTTCTTTTCTTCAAATTCTTGTACTCATTAATAATTGAATGAAAACTAAAATTTTAGGTATTTTTTTTAATGTAACTAATCATATTGTTTATAAGAAAATTATATTTAATTTTATTTTACAATCTCGTTTTGATCATTTTTATTATAGAAAATTATCTTTTTGAGGGACTGATTAGTATCTAGTTTGTACAAGATTAGTGAAAATGTCAAGACTTACTTAAGTTTGGTGAACTTCTCTTAACATCAATCATTCCAAACAAACCTATTCAGTAACTTTATCACAGGTCAAACTTTGTCTGTTAACTGAGGAAGGAAGGAATTAAGAAGTAGTTGTCAACCTTCTAATAAGTCGTTGCACCTATAATCCTTTGAATTTTTTTTTTAATTTTGAAAATTTCAATAAAAATCAATGACCATTATGGATGTAAAAGAAATAAAAATAAAATTGGTCAATCCCATAACCATGGTTGTTATTGAAAAGAAGAACCTAAAGTTAATCATTTTCAATAAAATAGTTGTTATTTAAGAGAACAACTGAATTGGACTATTTCCACCAGAAAGATCGAAATCTAAAAGAAAAACCTGAATCCAATATTTTTTTAAGATTTGTCATCTAAAAGATCAAATTACCATAATTAGAAGATCTCAAATTGAGCTTGAACTTGAATATATAAATTTAATAATAAATAATATTAATAAAATCTATTTAAAGACCTTATTAAAAATGATGACATACTGAGACGTTTTTAAAATGGTTCCATTATACTTATAAAGAAAAAGAAAAAAGAAGCACAAAAGACATGACATGAATACCTCAAACTTAAATAAAGTATTTTATTTTTTGTTTGATTAAGTAAATTGGCTTATTAGTTTACGTAAAAATAATCGGTCTATTTAAAATTGGGTCGTTGACCTAATCATAGGTGATAAAACACGTATTTAATTCTTCTAAAAAGTCAAACTTCATATTAAGTAAAAAAATATATTTTATTTTATATGAAGTAGAGATTAAAGATGTTTATTATAAATTTGAAGGTAGGAATTTTCTCTAACGAGTTTGAATAAATTAAGGTTTTGAATAGTTATTTTGTCGAAAAGTTTGTTAGTTTGTTTTGTTAGTGAAGAGTTTGTTCCCGATTCTCCTCACTTTCCTATATTCACAGACTTAATGTTTTCCCTCTGCTTTAGCACTTTTCCATTAAATTTACTTAATTTGTTTCAGAGTATCCATAGAGTTAAGTTTAATCTAATTTTTAATTTAACGTAACGACTAAATCAATCATTAATTTTTTAAAAAAAATTAATGTTTAATTTAGTGACTAAATTTTCAACCACAAAGTCACTTAATTATTTCATAATTTAATTAATATATATATATGATCCAACAAAGATTACCCACAAAAACTACTCAAAGAAAAAACCAAACGTGATGCATAACCTAATCATACAGAAAAAAATTGTTAGAATAAATATAACTATATTTTTAAACCTAATCATGCAGTAAAAACATATATTAGAATAATTTGTTCATGTTTCAAGTTTGTAAATGAATGTTTATTCTACTATTAGAAGCAAATTGAATGATGAAGTTATCTTTTTAGATATCAATGATTAGTTTACTTTTTAACTTTATAAATAACCTTCTAAGTAATCAAACGAAGCAAAAATCATTAAATATAATTGAATTGATGTTTTAGGGTATAATAATTTTTTTAGTTAAAATTTGCTGATAAAAAGATTAAAATTTTGTTTTATTTAGTTGAAAATAAATTAACATGTA